AGAGGTAGATAGGTTTAAGAATAAGAAGAAAAAGTCAGGTGGATTTGGTGACAGATAGGATACTGGGGGTGGGATAGGTGGGAGGCCCTAGCAGTGAGAAAAGTTATGACTCCTTGTTCCAGTTTTAAGTTTGGAAAGATAGTGTTGATGTTCATCAAGGTAGGGAATGTTTTGGGGGTCAGTGTTGACTTTTGGGAGGAAAAGAGGGTCTGGATTTGGGTTCTGGGACCTAGAACTTTAAGGAACTTCATTTAATGGCTAGGTAGAAGAGGATAAGCCTATAAAGGACAAAGAGAAGGAATGGTTAAAGAGATAGGAGGAAAACCAAGGAGTATGGCAGATGTTAAGAGAACGTAAGGTTTGCAAAGGAGTGAATGGAAGTTCAGCTGGGTTAGAGATACTAAGATAGTATAGATTTGTCAACAATTAAGTAAGGTGAACTTTTAGTAAGAGCCCTTCTAATGTCAGGAGGATGAAAGCTTGTATGGAGTAGGTTGAAGTGAGAGTGAGAAAGGAGATGAGACTGACCATAGACTATTTTTTAAAAACCATGTTTCTAAAGAGGAAAAGAAAGGGAAAGTGATAGCTGGGGTATTAATGTTGAGAAGGGATGGGTTAGAGAAGTCAAGTCAGGATTTTTGGTTTTTGCCCAAGTTGAAAGCAGAGTGAGCATGTTTAAATGTAGGTGGAGATGTTAAGGAAGGGGGAAACATAAGGATTGTGGAGGACTGATTTATTTCCATTAAGTTAGAGAATTTGGTTGTTGGGATAGTCCATTTAGGTGTTGGTATAAAATACTTTTGAGTTAGGAGTCAAAGCATTAGGGGGATTAGATCTTAGATATTAATAGGGGCAATTATGTTAATAAGATGTAGGATAAATACAGATGCTGGTGGCCTTATAGATTTTATGAGAAAACACCTTCAGCTTTTCCCTCTTGGATAACATATCTTGAAAAAAATCAGGGTTGGGGAAGAGAACTGACTCAAAACAGTTATTTCTTGGGAGAGCAATGATAATACAGAACGTTTTTAGTCTGTTTTCACCATTCTTTCCAGAGATCCATTTGTGATCCTCTTGTGGCAAATACCCCAGAGAGTGCTAAGAGGAACCAAGTGTAGAGTCAGGCATTGAGATTTGTATCCCTGATGCTTAAGTAAGAATGCTTTGTAACTTTGTTTTGTCTAAAATTTTGTTTGAAAATGTGTTTTGTGGCTTTAAAAAGTGACTAAAATCATTAGAATCATTAGACTATGTAAATATAAAATATTTTTTGCTTTATTTTTATGTGCTAGGATAGGTGTTGAAAATGTTTTGGTTTTTTAGCAGTGAAGTAGTAATTTTTACATTTTCTTTTTTAAAAAATATTTTTATTAGTTATTGATGGAACTTTAATTATTTGTTTATATGTGGTGCTGAGAATTGAACCCATTGCCTCACACATACTAGGCAAGTGCTGTACCACTGAGCCACAACCCCAGCCCCAATTTTTACATTTTCTCATGTGTTTATTTATCTAATAGTTTATTAAGCACTTAACTTCAAGTACTACATTAGATACCATGTAGACAGATAAACAAGGTTTAATCCTATATCTTTCATATAGGATATGAACAAGTTAACCAGCAATTTTAGTATTAGTGAAAGGGTCTTTTGAATCCCCAGGTTGGGCAAGGACCTGTGTGTTTCTGTGAATGAGAATCATAGATATTAGATTTCCACTGAAGATTAAGTATCAAGTTTATTAAGAACAATTAATTTGATAAATACTACAGAATGCCAGGAGATGAAGGAACATTTGAAAAGGAATATAATGTCCTACAGGAACACAAAGAATGTACATAAAGAAGGGGCAGAGTTGTGAATAGGTCATGGAAGTCAGTGAGGCATATAGATTAAAACATGAAAGAGATTGAGGTGTGGAAGTGGGTGTGTAAAAGGAAGATTGCCAGCATAGGAATCAGCTTCTATAAAGTCTCAAAAGCTGGAGAAAATATCAGGAGTTTAAGAACTGAAGTGAAAGTTGATTTTTGAAAAATCAAAATATATTATCAAAGAAAGCTTTAGACAAAGTGACTCATAAAAAAGATAGAATTCTGCAGTACAGATTTTCAGGTTCTGTACCTGAAAAGATATTTTTGCCAGCAGCCTATCAACAGGATCATCAAAGAACTGAAGTTAGTAAGTAATGAACTTTATTTTTTTGAAGTATAATTTTGGGGGGTGGTATGGGTACCAGAGATTGAACTCAGGGGCACTCAACCACTGAGCCACATCCTCAGCCCTATTTTGTATTTTTATATTTTATTTAGAGACAGGGTCTCACTGAATTGCTTAGTACCTCACTTTTGCTGAGGCTGGCTTTGAACTCCAGATCCTGCTGCCTCAGCCTCCTGAGCCACTGGGATTACAGGTGTGTGCCACCACACACAGCTGAAGTACAAATTTTTAAAGGAATTTTGAGCATTTAAGAAATTACATTGAAATAATTATCACATATAAGTTTAGAACTGAAAGGGACCTTAAAAATATTCTAGACTTTTTCATTTAAATTTTATCTTTTATAACTTTTAAATTTTGTTTTTAATTGATATATAAATGTTTCTACATATTTATGAGGTTACAGTGTATGTTTTTTTGTTTTTTGTTTTTGCACTAGGGATTGAACCCCCAGGGTACTTTACCACGGAGCTATATCCCCAGTCTTTTTATTTTTTATTTTGAGGCAGAATTTGCTAAGTTGCTGAGACTGGCAACTCCTCCTCCTTTAATCCTTCATATTGCTGGGTTCACAGGAGTGCACATCCCACCCGGTCACTGTGTTATTTTGATACATATATACCTTATGTGATGATCAAATTAGGGTATTTAGCATATCACCTCATAAATTTATCATTTCTTTATGCTAAGAACATTTAAAGTCTTCCCTCTAGCTACTTTGAAATATTTTGGTAACCATAGTCACCTTACTATGCAGTAGAGTTGAAGAACATACTGGAAAAGATCAGAGAAAAGTGTAAATATAGTTTTAAGTTCTCATATTTTGTTATATTTTCTTTTAAATACTTTTTAATGTCAGGTTTTTAAATTTTTTTTAGTTGTTGATAGACCTTTATTTTATTCATTTATTTATATGTGGTGCTGAGAATCGAACCCAGTGCCTCACATTGGTCAGGCAAGCGCTCTACCTCTGAGCCACAATCTCAGCCCAAATATCAGTTTTATTTAATCATACTAGCAGTTTCTGGAAAATGTTCTAAGTGAATATGATATTATGGAAAAAAGGGGTGTTGTAGCTAAAGTTTAGAAAATTGTGGTTGAAATAAAATTAAATAGATGTATCTGAAGATTTCTTAATGTCAGTGGACTTTTAAAATCTCCAACTAGGTATGTAGTGTGAAAATTTGCATTATGCATGTTTTATTAGAACCCCTTTTTGTAAAGTTTTTGATTCTGCCAAGACTTTTTAACTACCTACTATGTGCCAGACTCTGCAGTTTAAAATGATCAAAGTGTGACAGTATGACTCCATCTTATCCACAACAGCAGTATGTTATGATGAAGAGTAAGATGGGTTTCCCTTTTTGGCTCCAGCTTAGTAGGAAGTGTAATAACCAACTTTTAAAGAATATCACTCATGGTCTTGTGCAGTGGTGTGTTACAGATAATACAGGATGGAATGAAATGGTTTAATTCCTTATCTACTCCTCATTAGTCTTATCATAAAAAATTCATCTTAAAAACTCATGAATTGGAGAGCAGTTTTGAAACTGCTTGGTCTCAGAACCCCTTTACACTAAATATTATTGAGGTCCCTTTATGTGGGTTATAATTTATTGGTATTTACCATAGTGACTTAACCACTTAACACATTAGAAGCCTAGTGAATACTTTCATGTTAATACAAATAATAGTATAAATTTTATAAAAACTTCTCTGTGAGGAGAGGTATTGTTTTACATTTTTGTCGATCTTTCGTGTCTAGATTAATACAGGACTGTTAGAATTCCATATCAGTTTCTACATTCAATCTTTGTGATATCTGAAGTCATATGTAGTAAAAAAGGAAATGCAGTATCAATGGTATTCATTTTTTTTAATCTGTAAAACCTCCAGGGGTTTCTAGAACATGCTTTTGAAAACATGTGCAGTTAGGTACTTAACTGACATAACTGCTCATTTCTTTAAAGACAAGAGTATAAAAATATCAGCATTTCATAATTGGTTTCAAATGCTAACAGAAATTAATCAGTGTTTTGGAGTTGTTCCTAAAGTTTTTATGGTAGTTAGGTTTATTTTATATTTGAAACTTGACTAAAGCAAGAGTTGGAATTTTGCCTTTTATAAAAGATTTTTGGTAAGTTATAAAATTCGGTGTAGATATTAAGTGTTCTTAAGTTTTGTAATGAGAATATAAACTTCATTCTTTCTTTTTGTTTTTTTTTTAGAGAGAGAATTTTAATATTTATTTTTTAGTTATCGGCGGACACAACATCCTTTGTTTGTATGTGGTGCTGAGGATCGAACCCTGGCTGCATGCATGCCATGCGAGAGCACTACCGCTTGAACCACATCCCCAACCCCAATTATTTAATTCTTAATTATTCTGGAGATTTTCTTCATAATATCAGGGTCTCAAAAACATTTATTGTCTTTTATAGTTGGATGATTTTTTCTTTGGTTGTTTCTTAAAGTTCTTGAAAAATCCAGGTGATAAACTGAAATATATAATGCTATGCTTTTTAGCATTGGCATTGATTAGCATCTGTTAATTCATATATTGCTACATTTAGGTTACATTAGTTTTTAGCTTTTTTTTTTTTTTTTTGGTCTTCAGCGGACTAAGTGATGGTTAGTGTGGCTATTTTTTATGAAACAAGTGGTTTTACATTCCACTTGAGTAAAACAAAATATTGACTAGCCCAAAGTGTATTTTATTTAATGTAAAGAATTATATAATTTTGCATAACAAATATTTTTGTTTGTCTTTCACATAATAGGTGAAGTATTACAGACATCTAGCACCTGATCACTTGCTGCAAATATGTCATCGACTAGGACCACTTCTTGAACAAGAAATTCCTCAAAGTGTTCCTGGAGTACAAACTTTATTAGGAGCTGGAAGACAGTCCTTGCTACGTACAAATAAAAGTAAGAAAATTTTCCAGTATAATTTAGACATCTTTTTCTCACTTTGTTTTTGTGTCCTATCTTTGTATTCATAAAAATATGTGTGTTTAATAGGTTGCAAGCATGTTGTATGGAAAGGATCTGCTCTGGCTGCATTGCATTGTGGAAGACCACCTGAGTCACCAATTAACTATGGTAGCCCACCCAGCATTGGTGAGTTGAGTTCGTTTTGTAATTGACATCCTCTTGGTAAATAGTATTTGAAAATAAAAAGTTTTTTTATTTACAGTGCTGTCACAGAACCTCATATTATATGCATCAGCATTCAAAGAGGAAAGAACTATCAGATTTTTTCTTACATTAATAGTGTTAATAACAAAGTCATAATAATGTGTAATTATGGAACATATACATTGTTCCTTGTGTAAGCTAATTAGCTCTTCAGTGTTTTATTTTTACAAAACATTTTTACTAAACTGGATGTTATTAGATTGAGTTTAGTATGTCAGTATCACAATTCAGATTTGTTACTGTAGAAAACAAAAGCAGTTTGATTATCTGTAAGTCCTGTGCATATTTTTGTCTATAAAATTTCAAAGAACTGTTGCAGATAGGTCTTCCTCTTGAGTTCAATATTTCTTTCACTTCAACTATTTCTAGATCCTTGTTTTACCTGGGATTGATATAGCATTTTCTGAACTAGACTTAATTGCTTCCATTTTCCACCTTTCTTCCTTCCAGCATACTATGTGACACTGTAATAGTAATCTTATTCTGTTCTCCCTTTATTGTGTCTTTCTTTTACTCAAGAACGTATGAAGAAGTTGATTATAAAAATTGTTTTCAGTTTTTTAAAATTTTTTATTTATTTTTCTTTTTTTATTATTAGTTGTTCAAAACATTACAAAGCTCTTGACATATCATATTTCATACATTTGATTCAAGTGGATTATGAACTCCCATTTTCACCCCATATACAAATTGCAGAATCACATCGGTTACACATCCACGTCTTACAT